CAGGCCCGCCTCTTTCTTCTTTTCGGTCTTGTCTTGCTGGCAAACAAGGCACGTCCGGACATAGGACTCAACGTCATCAAGCATTTTCGGCCAATAAAACTTTCGCATCATTAAAGCGTACATACGCTCAACACCGGGATGGCCAACCCACTGAGAGTCGTGATAATCTTTCAGTAGCTCGCGCCTCATTCCTCCCGATGGAATATACATCCTTCGACCTTTGGCATAGAGTAAGCCGTCCTCCAGCCAATATTTGCGCACTTCACCTGCTGCCACTTGCTCGGCGAGTTTTACATAGACAGTGTCTTTAAGAGCTTCCCCACGAACTTTCTCAACAAAGTCGGACTCAACAGCATACAAGGCTAACACATAGGACGCCACTGCCTTTTGACTCAGAGCATCAGCAACGTCATTATGTTTCCCCGGCCGATGGACCCAATCGAAATCAAACTCCCCCAAGAATTCTTGCCACCGTGCCTGCTTTGGGGACAACTTCTTCTGAGTTCGAAAATAAGTATTGGCTACATTGTCCGTAACAATCGTGAACCTTGTTCCCAAAAGATAGTGACGCCACATTTCCAAACAATGAATCACTACCGTCATTTCCTTCTCATGGGTACTGTATCGGGTCTCCGCATCCTTCAATTTCTGACTCTCAAAAGCAATAAGATGTTTGTCTTGGACCAACAGCCACCAATAGCACGATCTGAAGCATCGACTTGTACCTCAAATGGCTGGTCGAACTTTGCCAACTTCAATATCGACTCTTTGGTCACAGCTTGTTTCAGCAAATCAAAGGCAACTTGTTGAGCTTTGTCCCACTCCCAACACCTGTCCTTCTTCAGTAAATCCGTCAACGGGCTAACTACCTTAGAATACCCTTTAATGAATCTTCGATAGTAGTTTGCCAACCCTAAAAAGGAGCGCAACTCGGTCACTCTGGATGGTTCGGGCCAATCAGCAACAGCCCGCACCTTCTTAGGGTCCATGCGAATACTTCCTTGGCTGATGATGTGCCCAAGGAATGTGATTTTCTCCCGACAGAATTCACATTTCTCCTTCTTAGCATACAACTTGTTTTCCCTCAATTTCTCAAGCACACATCGCAAGTGCTTGACATGCTCATCAACCGTCTCAGAATAGATCACGATGTCATCCAAAAACGACCACAAATTTATCCAAGTACTCGTACAGCACATCATTCATCAAATTGCAAAACGTAGCAGGGGCATTGGTTAACCCGAAGGGCATCACCAAAAATTCGAACGACCCGTACCTTGTCACACAAGTGGTCTTTGCCTCATCGCCCGGGGCAATACGCTCCTGCCAGTACCCAGAACGCAAATCAATTTTCGTGTACCACCTTGCTTGGGCCAGCTTGTCAAACAGGTCCAAGGCATTTGGAATTGGATACTTGTTTTTAATGGTAACTTTGTTCAACGCCCGATAGTCCACGCACATTCGCATCGATCCATCTTGCTTCCTTTGGAACAAAACTGGGGAACCGTAAGGTGCCTTTGAAGGCTGTATCAATCCCGCACTAAGTAGCTCATCCAACTGCTTCCTCAATTCGGCCAGCTCGGCTGGTGGCATCCGATAAGGAGGTTGAGCAGGGGGCTGAGAACCCGGTTCCAGTTCTATCCGATGGTCGCAAGGTCTACGTGGAGGCAACTCCTTAGGAAACTCAGGGGGCATCGTATCCTTGAATTCATCAAGCACTTTACCAACAATATCCGGTACTTCATAAAATATGCCTGGTTTGGTCTCAATCAAAGCCGCAAGGTACGTTGTGTGGCCATGCCTTAGTCCATCGCTAACCTGCAAGGCCGACACCATGCTTGTATCTTTCTTTGGAACAACAAACTTGACGGCGAGAGGCTGCTCTCTCCCATCATCAACCAAGAACAGCTTGCCTTCGTGGGGTTTTGGGAAGACTTTCACCTTCTTCATAAAGTCTATTCTGAGAATCATCGCAAAATCATCAAGAGTGACGATGTGCAACGCACACAATCCTTTCCAAGGTCCAACTTGCATCTCAACTTGGGCCACACCCTTGATCGGTTCACCTTGAGCATTCACCGTCTTCATCTTTCCCTTGTGAGGCTCAACAGTAAGGCACAGCTTCCGAGCATACTCCTCATTCACAAAGCTGTGGGTAGCACCACAATCCACCAAGGCCATAATATCTTTGTTCCCTATGGCCACCTTAGTGTACATCAAGCCATCACATGCAACAGGGACTTTCTGAACTTGGTTCAACAGCAACATCGAGTTAAGACCCATGGTACCTTCCTCAGCATCCTTGGAAGTGCCTTGCACCACCACAGCATTTGCTTTGGCATTCGCACGTTTAGGACAATCCCGCATGCGGTGGTCACCATCACACAAGAAGCACCCACGGTTTGAACGGTCCACAACCAAAGTTTGGTTCTTAGACTCTCGGGACTTATTCTCCTTCTTTTCCCCCGCCTTCTTCTTGTATTTACCACCATCTTTATGCTTTTTGAATTTCCCACTTTTCTCCTTAGTCGAGTCCTTTTTCTTATGGCCCGACTCAGGTCCGCCCACGACTTTAAAATCAACAAGTCGTTCTGTCGCAGCAATAGCCGATGGCAAGTCGCTCACACCTTGCCTTCTTAACTCCGCTTGGGCCCAGCCTTGAAGACCGGCCATGAAGTTGAACAGTTTGTCCTTCTCTGACATTTCAGAGATATCAAGCATGACAGA